CGCTACCGGCTTGTGACAACCCGGCTCCCTCGCTCATCCCCCTCGATCCGCCTTCATGCGTATAAGTCGAACGTGAGACCGGACTGCAATAGCACATAGACCTCTTCTTCAAAGGACCAGCTGTTGGGAATACTATACACAATCTACCAGTGAACCTGTGCGAGAAGACTGTTCCAACAGACTAGAGCTGCTCCGTTAAAATACACATTCTCAAAGGAAACACATGTTAGGCATGCAGCAATCATAGAAGGATCAGTCCCAGCTCCAGTTATTTGCCTCACACAGCGATGAAAGTCAGAACCACGAACAGCAAGCCGGTTTTCGTCGAAATCGGGGCTGTATTGATCGCATCTTCATAGTACGTCAGTTGTTAGAGCACCGCCATGCTTACTGACGACCCATCAGTCGCGTTCTTCGACATCAAAGATGCCATCGATTCGGTGCATCGACGTGCCCTTCGGAACTATCCGTCCGATTAACATGTAAACGTTACAGGAGCGCGTAGTCCGGCAAGGTGAAGGTTTATGGCAAACTGTAACCGCCTTCAAGGTTGCCCGCTGTCGCCTTCCCATTCTAACTTTGCTATCGACGAAGCCATGAAAACTGCATTCACCAGACACTATTTGGAGCTGCTCCCAGGTCATCGACCTTTCGACTCCGAGTACGCCGACGATATTGCCCTCAACTCTGACAACTCACAAACGTGCCAAGCAGCACTGAATAAATAAGCACCAGTTGCCAATCGTTTCCGACTATGCTTCGCACATTCACAATGCAAAGTCCTTCTCCAACATTGGAAGGTACCCAACCCTGCGCTGACCCTTGTTGGTGATCAGCTAGAAGTCGTCCGGAAATTTAAGTATCTAGGCAACTATACCAGCGCCTTTAGAATAGCGGATGAAATCACGAACCGCATAGCAAAAGCTCAAGTCGCTTTTGCCAATCTCCGCCACCTGCGACGCCGACACGACATCACTTGCACTCGGAGGGGCAGAGTTTACAACGCAACTGTGCGTTCGACAACCGTGTACAGTTGCGGAACCTGGCACATCAGATCGACAAACCCAAAGAGGTGTGCTACGTTCGACCATCGCCACCTCCGCAGTCTAGCTCGTATCCGTGGGAACACCACATGCGCAATGAGCGCGTTCCGCGTCTCATATTTGGTACAGGCGGAGCGAGTCGTCGACAAAGCTTCGATGCAAACGAACCCTTAGACTATCAATACATGCCACCGCATTCACTCTGGTCAGAAAATAAGGCCCCGTGAGGATAACCAACGAACACATACACACACAAATTACCAGTTAGACACCAGTGCCAAAACCGGATACTGCCCTCATGTAAACTATACTATGTGACATCACCGGTCCTATGCGAAGAAGAGCATACCGAAGCGCCACAGAAACATAAAAGTGCCACAATACGAGGAGTAGAGAGTGGAGTGAAAACAAACTAAACCAGACCGCGTGGAAACATGTATTCTGAAAGTGTTGGGCAAACCAGTGAAAAGAACATTTGGGAAACCTGTCGAAGGAGCTTCCATCCCAGTGTCCGGTAAAGTGGTGCATCATGACGAGGCCAAGAGAATATATCCATGCTACAAGCTCACGCCGTGAACCGAACACCGTGAATCAGCAGTAAGTGCGTTGTACGCTCACTGCCTTCGCCGTGGAAGCGTTCCCACTCCACTTTACACTTGTCACACCAAATGGATGCTCTGAAGCACAAATGTAGCGCATTGGACTCGTTCTACTGCGAAATAACATCATTATACTTCGTCTGCATCCGTGTCCTAAAACGGTCTGTCAGTTCCGAGGCACATTATTCTTGTGGTGTCATTATCCTGACGTAGTGTTTCTCAGTAAGCAGGGCTCTTCCGTAACGATTCAAATAGGTTTGCAGATGGAATCTTCCGTACGGTGCGATCGCGTACTACGCTCAAATGATTACACTAAGTAGGTCGAGGCGATGTTATAGAAGAACGGCGCGAAATTAGTGCTCCGACTTTTGTTCTACACTAGGCAGCATCGGTTTGCTGATCGTTATGTGATCACTGCTGTTAACTGACAAAACAAAACGGTTCTCATCGCGCGTACCAACATCACGTAGCACAGACTGACTGTTAACGTGAGACCGTGTGCCAGCAGCCGCACGCGAGGACAAGAGCTGCATAGACCTGTGGTTGCTACTTGCATCGTTGTACTGCGCTCAAGCTAGTAAGACCTGCTACTGTCGGTTGGTTTGCTGGCCCGGTTTCCACATGAATTAAAGCATCAACACAAGAACGCTCGCTGTGAGATCTGGGAAACGAATGCATTGCTATGCCGAGTCTAGCCACGATCAAAATGATTGATAAATACTGCCTTCCGGAAAAGCATCTCAATTAGTGGCTTCCTGTAGAGAAGCAACTGTGAAGGACCGTTTCCAATTATTGACAAGTCCTGACTCCAGCTAATTCGTAATCGTACGTTGGCCGCTGTGAGATAAATCACATCGTAACGGATAAACCGCCAATGTGACCAGAAGCAGCGACAATTACGGCTTAAATGCTAGGGGACAGTTGCTTTCTGGGGTTAAAGCCGCCGCTCGATAACTACAACGATTATCATGATGACGAAACGCATTCCTCGAATGGGAAAAGCGCGCGCCTACACATATACTACGGTGACTAGTCGTTTCCCCAGAAAGCGATCAATTCGGCGCATCGCTTAATTGTGGCCAGCATGTATGGTTTGAAAGTGGCTAACCATTAAATTTTACCTAGACCGGAGTACAAGCCTCTGATTTTGTTAGACGTCTTTATCACCAGCTCAATATGCTTGCCCAATCTTAGTTCGATGGTATCAATACAAAATTAATTGCGGGGTACTTTCCTGTGAAATCCCAAGGGCTGGGTAGTGACATTGTGCCAGGTCAGACAACCCTCATTGCCAGTGCACGAATAGGAGAAAGATACGCTCGCGAATCGTCTAGCCGTTGTCTTCAGCACCATACAGCAAAATCATGAAAGCACCTTCAGCCCAATAGCATTTAACCGGAACAAGCATCACAAACCCCTAGAGAGGCCAAATGACGTGACGTCTGGTTCGATAACATCACCCTAACACCGACACCCACAAACTCCCAACGGACATCCTTATCAGGCAGCACAACGATCCACGAGCACCGAAGCAGATAAAGTCCCAGTACACACAGCAGCGATCGCAGACTCAGTCTTTGACAGCTACTCTTCGACCTGTGGACTGTCTCTAGCGCAATCAATCGCACCCTACTTGACGCGTCATTTATCGTTCAGAGGAGAGCCACTGAAGTCTTGTCCGATCACTAAATCCCCGTGCCAAGTGAAACCTTCTGCCAACTCCACCACCGCATCAGCAGTACGCCGGTGCGCAGCACCGACGCTTTGCTGCCGCGCAACCATAACCAGTCACACGTGGGTTAAGGATACTGCGACGGTCGCCTGGGCACCTACGCAGGCTCGAAGCAGCGAAATCAGGAGTACAAGGCAGGCATGTAATCATTAAGGCCAACTCGGTGGAAGATGACTTCGATCACCAACTGAACGAACTCTTTCACCATAGCAGAAGTACCGGTATCCTAGTGCTGGCTGGTGATCTGAACGCTCCAATTGGAAAGCTGTCCACTGATGAGCTGCACCTGGGCGGCCAACACCTGAACTGATAACGGGGAACGCTTGCTCATCTATTTCTCGCCAGCTCTAACTTCCCACATACCACCTGCAGAACGGCGACAATTAACCATTGTCCCAAAATGATCACAGCGCAATCAGTTGTCGTTAAATAAGCTGTGTTCAAAACGGTCGCTCAGTTTGGAGCACGAGTGTGGATGCTGATCACGCAGTAGTATGGGACGAACTTCGAGTTCGCCTCAATAGACACCCGCGGCGACGCAGTGAGCGCACAGACATCCACCAACTAGTGAAGCCAGGTGTTTTGAATGCACAACAAACTGCGCTGCCATGCGAATTGAGCTAGTGCCCACTGCCACGTGTTATTAGCAGCACGCATGTGGTAAATCGGATTGCCAACTTGGACATTGCGTCTTTACGGAGTCCCCTAGAACTCTGGCTGGGAGTGAACACAAAATTCGCAAAGATCTCAGGGACCGAAGAGAGACCGCGAAGCCTGGTGGTCTCACTGCCTGATGCCATTGGCAACAACAGAAACGAGCAGCGGGAGATCTGGTGCTAACGAAACTACATGCGACAAGATTGGACAACATATTCACAACCTGTCAAAACGTTTGGAGCATTGGTCCGATCACTTTTGGAAGCAACTTACTCAGCCGGGACTACTAGACTCGCTACCGGCTTGTGACAACCCGGCTCCCTCGCTCATCCCCCTCGATCCGCCTTCATGCGTATAAGTCGAACGTGAGACCGGACTGCAATAGCACATAGACCTCTTCTTCAAAGGACCAGCTGTTGGGAATACTATACACAATCTACCAGTGAACCTGTGCGAGAAGACTGTTCCAACAGACTAGAGCCGCTCCGTTAAAATACACATTCTCAAAGGAAACACATGTTAGGCATGCAGCAATCATAGAAGGATCAGTCCCAGCTCCAGTTATTTGCCTCACACAGCGATGAAAGTCAGAACCACGAACAGCAAGCCGGTTTTCGTCGAAATCGGGGCTGTATTGATCGCATCTTCATAGTACGTCAGTTGTTAGAGCACCGCCATGCTTACTGACGACCCATCAGTCGCGTTCTTCGACATCAAAGATGCCATCGATTCGGTGCATCGACGTGCCCTTCGGAACTATCCGTCCGATTAACATGTAAACGTTACAGGAGCGCGTAGTCCGGCAAGGTGAAGGTTTATGGCAAACTGTAACCGCCTTCAAGGTTGCCCGCTGTCGCCTTCCCATTCTAACTTTGCTATCGACGAAGCCATGAAAACTGCATTCACCAGACACCATTTGGAGCTGCTCCCAGGTCATCGACCTTTCGACTCCGAGTACGCCGACGATATTGCCCTCAACTCTGACAACTCACAAACGTGCCAAGCAGCACTGAATAAATAAGCACCAGTTGCCAATCGTTTTCGACTATGCTTCGCACATTCACAATGCAAAGTCCTTCTCCAACATTGGAAGGTACCCAACCCTGCGCTGACCCTTGTTGGTGATCAGCTAGAAGTCGTCCGGAAATTTAAGTATCTAGGCAACTATACCAGCGCCTTTAGAATAGCGGATGAAATCACGAACCGCATAGCAAAAGCTCAAGTCGCTTTTGCCAATCTCCGCCACCTGCGACGCCGACACGACATCACTTGCACTCGGAGGGGCAGAGTTTACAACGCAACTGTGCGTTCGACAACCGTGTACAGTTGCGGAACCTGGCACATCAGATCGACAAACCCAAAGAGGTGTGCTACGTTCGACCATCGCCACCTCCGCAGTCTAGCTCGTATCCGTGGGAACACCACATGCGCAATGAGCGCGTTCCGCGTCTCATATTTGGTACAGGCGGAGCGAGTCGTCGACAAAGCTTCGATGCAAACGAACCCTTAGACTATCAATACATGCCACCGCATTCACTCTGGTCAGAAAATAAGGCCCCGTGAGGATAACCAACGAACATATACACACACAAATTACCAGTTAGACACCAGTGCCAAAACCGGATACTGCCCTCATGTAAACTATACTATGTGACATCACCGGTCCTATGCGAAGAAGAGCATACCGAAGCGCCACAGAAACATAAAAGTGCCACAATACGAGGAGTAGAGAGTGGAGTGAAAACAAACTAAACCAGACCGCGTGGAAACATGTATTCTGAAAGTGTTGGGCAAACCAGTGAAAAGAACATTTGGGAAACCTGTCGAAGGAGCTTCCATCCCAGTGTCCGGTAAAGTGGTGCATCATGACGAGGCCAAGAGAATATATCCATGCTACAAGCTCACGCCGTGAACCGAACACCGTGAATCAGCAGTAAGTGCGTTGTACGCTCACTGCCTTCGCCGTGGAAGCGTTCCCACTCCACTTTACACTTGTCACACCAAATGGATGCTCTGAAGCACAAATGTAGCGCATTGGACTCGTTCTACTGCGAAATAACATCATTATACTTCGTCTGCATCCGTGTCCTAAAACGGTCTGTCAGTTCCGAGGCACATTATTCTTGTGGTGTCATTATCCTGACGTAGTGTTTCTCAGTAAGCAGGGCTCTTCCGTAACGATTCAAATAGGTTTGCAGATGGAATCTTCCGTACGGTGCGATCGCGTACTACGCTCAAATGATTACACTAAGTAGGTCGAGGCGATGTTATAGAAGAACGGCGCGAAATTAGTGCTCCGACTTTTGTTCTACACTAGGCAGCATCGGTTTGCTGATCGTTATGTGATCACTGCTGTTAACTGACAAAACAAAACGGTTCTCATCGCGCGTACCAACATCACGTAGCACAGACTGACTGTTAACGTGAGACCGTGTGCCAGCAGCCGCACGCGAGGACAAGAGCTGCATAGACCTGTGGTTGCTACTTGCATCATTGTACTGCGCTCAAGCTAGTAAGACCTGCTACTGTCGGTTGGTTTGCTGGCCCGGTTTCCACATGAATTAAAGCATCAACACAAGAACGCTCGCTGTGAGATCTGGGAAACGAATGCATTGCTATGCCGAGTCTAGCCACGATCAAAATGATTGATAAATACTGCCTTCCGGAAAAGCATCTCAATTAGTGGCTTCCTGTAGAGAAGCAACTGTGAAGGACCGTTTCCAATTATTGACAAGTCCTGACTCCAGCTAATTCGTAATCGTACGTTGGCCGCTGTGAGATAAATCACATCGTAACGGATAAACCGCCAATGTGACCAGAAGCAGCGACAATTACGGCTTAAATGCTAGGGGACAGTTGCTTTCTGGGGTTAAAGCCGCCGCTCGATAACTACAACGATTATCATGATGACGAAACGCATTCCTCGAATGGGAAAAGCGCGCGCCTACACATATACTACGGTGACTAGTCGTTTCCCCAGAAAGCGATCAATTCGGCGCATCGCTTAATTGTGGCCAGCATGTATGGTTTGAAAGTGGCTAACCATTAAATTTTACCTAGACCGGAGTACAAGCCTCTGATTTTGTTAGACGTCTTTATCACCAGCTCAATATGCTTGCCCAATCTTAGTTCGATGGTATCAACACAAAATTAATTGCGGGGTACTTTCCTGTGAAATCCCAAGGGCTGGGTAGTGACATTGTGCCAGGTCAGACAACCCTCATTGCCAGTGCACGAATAGGAGAAAGATACGCTCGCGAATCGTCTAGCCGTTGTCTTCAGCACCATACAGCAAAATCATGAAAGCACCTTCAGCCCAATAGCATTTAACCGGAACAAGCATCACAAACCCCTAGAGAGGCCAAATGACGTGACGTCTGGTTCGATAACATCACCCTAACACCGACACCCACAAACTCCCAACGGACATCCTTATCAGGCAGCACAACGATCCACGAGCACCGAAGCAGATAAAGTCCCAGTACACACAGCAGCGATCGCAGACTCAGTCTTTGACAGCTACTCTTCGACCTGTGGACTGTCTCTAGCGCAATCAATCGCACCCTACTTGACGCGTCATTTATCGTTCAGAGGAGAGCCACTGAAGTCTTGTCCGATCACTAAATCCCCGTGCCAAGTGAAACCTTCTGCCAACTCCACCACCGCATCAGCAGTACGCCGGCGCGCAGCACCGACGCTTTGCTGCCGCGCAACCATAACCAGTCACACGTGGGTTAAGGATACTGCGACGGTCGCCTGGGCACCTACGCAGGCTCGAAGCAGCGAAATCAGGAGTACAAGGCAGGCATGTAATCATTAAGGCCAACTCGGTGGAAGATGACTTCGATCACCAACTGAACGAACTCTTTCACCATAGCAGAAGTACCGGTATCCTAGTGCTGGCTGGTGATCTGAACGCTCCAATTGGAAAGCTGTCCACTGATGAGCTGCACCTGGGCGGCCAACACCTGAACTGATAACGGGGAACGCTTGCTCATCTATTTCTCGCCAGCTCTAACTTCCCACATACCACCTGCAGAACGGCGACAATTAACCATTGTCCCAAAATGATCACAGCGCAATCAGTTGTCGTTAAATAAGCTGTGTTCAAAACGGTCGCTCAGTTTGGAGCACGAGTGTGGATGCTGATCACGCAGTAGTATGGGACGAACTTCGAGTTCGCCTCAATAGACACCCGCGGCGACGCAGTGAGCGCACAGACATCCACCAACTAGTGAAGCCAGGTGTTTTGAATGCACAACAAACTGCGCTGCCATGCGAATTGAGCTAGTGCCCACTGCCACGTGTTATTAGCAGCACGCATGTGGTAAATCGGATTGCCAACTTGGACATTGCGTCTTTACGGAGTCCCCTAGAACTCTGGCTGGGAGCGAACACAAAATTCGCAAAGATCTCAGGGACCGAAGAGAGACCGCGAAGCCTGGTGGTCTCACTGCCTGATGCCATTGGCAACAACAGAAACGAGCAGCGGGAGATCTGGTGCTAACGAAACTACATGCGACAAGATTGGACAACATATTCACAACCTGTCAAAACGTTTGGAGCATTGGTCCGATCACTTTTGGAAGCAACTTACTCAGCCGGGACTACTAGACTCGCTACCGGCTTGTGACAACCCGGCTCCCTGGCTCATCCCCCTCGATCCGCCTTCATGCGTATAAGTCGAACGTGAGACCGGACTGCAATAGCACATAGACCTCTTCTTCAAAGGACCAGCTGTTGGGAATACTATACACAATCTACCAGTGAACCTGTGCGAGAAGACTGTTCCAACAGACTAGAGCTGCTCCGTTAAAATACACATTCTCAAAGGAAACACATGTTAGGCATGCAGCAATCATAGAAGGATCAGTCCCAGCTCCAGTTATTTGCCTCACACAGCGATGAAAGTCAGAACCACGAACAGCAAGCCGGTTTTCGTCGAAATCGGGGCTGTATTGATCGCATCTTCATAGTACGTCAGTTGTTAGAGCACCGCCATGCTTACTGACGACCCATCAGTCGCGTTCTTCGACATCAAAGATGCCATCGAGTCGATGCATCGACGTGCCCTTCGGAACTATCCGTCCGATTAACATGTAAACGTTACAGGAGCGCGTAGTCCGGCAAGGTGAAGGTTTATGGCAAACTGTAACCGCCTTCAAGGTTGCCCGCTGTCGCCTTCCCATTCTAACTTTGCTATCGACGAAGCCATGAAAACTGCATTCACCAGACACTATTTGGAGCTGCTCCCAGGTCATCGACCTTTCGACTCCGAGTACGCCGACGATATTGCCCTCAACTCTGACAACTCACAAACGTGCCAAGCAGCACTGAATAAATAAGCACCAGTTGCCAATCGTTTTCGACTATGCTTCGCACATTCACAATGCAAAGTCCTTCACCAACATTGGAAGGTACCCAACCCTGCGCTGGCCCTTGTTGGTGATCAGCTAGAAGTCGTCCGGAAATTTAAGTATCTAGGCAACTATACCAGCGCATTTAGAATAGCGGATGAAATCACGAACCGCATAGCAAAAGCTCAAGTCGCTTTTGCCAATCTCCGCCACCTGCGACGCCGACACGACATCACTTGCACTCGGAGGGGCAGAGTTTACAACGCAACTGTGCGTTCGACAACCGTGTACAGTTGCGGAACCTGGCACATCAGATCGACAAACCCAAAGAGGTGTGCTACGTTCGACCATCGCCACCTCCGCAGTCTAGCTCGTATCCGTGGGAACACCACATGCGCAATGAGCGCGTTCCGCGTCTCATATTTGGTACAGGCGGAGCGAGTCGTCGACAAAGCTTCGATGCAAACGAACCCTTAGACTATCAATACATGCCACCGCATTCACTCTGGTCAGAAAATAAGGCCCCGTGAGGATAACCAACGAACATATACACACACAAATTACCAGTTAGACACCAGTGCCAAAACCGGATACTGCCCTCATGTAAACTATACTATGTGACATCACCGGTCCTATGCGAAGAAGAGCATACCGAAGCGCCACAGAAACATAAAAGTGCCACAATACGAGGAGTAGAGAGTGGAGTGAAAACAAACTAAACCAGACCGCGTGGAAACATGTATTCTGAAAGTGTTGGGCAAACCAGTGAAAAGAACATTTGGGAAACCTGTCGAAGGAGCTTCCATCCCAGTGTCCGGTAAAGTGGTGCATCATGACGAGGCCAAGAGAATATATCCATGCTACAAGCTCACGCCGTGAACCGAACATCGTGAATCAGCAGTAAGTGCGTTGTACGCTCACTGCCTTCGCCGTGGAAGCGTTCCCACTCCACTTTACACTTGTCACAC